TTTTTTTTTTTTTTTTTGAAAAATGAAATTAAAAATCCATCCACCATTTTTTTCCTTATTTATACTAACATAAAAAAGTTGTTGGAAAAATACATAACTAGTAACTTTGACTTTTTAATTAAATATTTGACTTACTATTATAAGAATATTTTTAAAAACACATAAAATTTGGAAAAAAAAAAGAAGAAAATCAATTTCACATAATGCTTTTAAGGAAAAAAATTGGTGCATATTTTAAAAATGGATACTACCTTATAAAAAATTTGACCTTTATTTTACATGGCAATATATTATTCCAATATTCACCATAAATTAATATTCGTGAATATGAACATTCATTATCAAATATATTTATATATTACTTAATGAGAAATTTTCATTTATAAAAATTACGGAAAATTCCACTTAAATCCCTCTTCCCTTATTCATCTTCTTGTTCAGTCCTTAAGACTTTTTTTTCCACTGCACTCCCCAATATAAACTTTCTCTTTCCACCCAACTACCCATATATATATACTCATTATTATTTACCATTTAATTTTATTACAAAACATAAAAAATTAAAAAAATGTCTTCTCCTTCATCTATACTTTCTCTCTCTCCACAAATCTAAAACCTGAAAAAAAAAATTGAATCCGTCTTCAATCTCCGATCTACCGTTGTGCACAGGACGACGGTGATCCCCATCGCATGGCCAATCGCCGGAGCTCCCGCGGGCCCACCGTCATTGGGCATCTCCCGTCACCGAGCCAACCGCCGGAGTTCGGCTGCGAAACTGTGGCTCACCTTCCCACCATGGTGACAGTGAATAAAACTGTAAGAGTTCTTCAATTTTCATTTCTCTTTCTTTATTTCTCGAATTATTTGAGTCTAGTGGTTTACATTGTTGTAATTTTATTTCTCTTAAAACCCTTCCCAATTCCAAAGGTAAGTCATTTTTTTGCTGGATTTTGTGATGGTGAGTTTTTATTTGAGTTGTGTAGGTATATTTGGAGAGTTAAATGTTTGTAAATTTGGGATTGACAGAAAAAAATGAAAATAATCCTTTTTTGTTTGTTGGATTTAATGTTGCTGAATTTTTATTTTTTATTTTATTTTATTTTTTTGGTTGTGTGGATGGATTTGGAGAGTTAAATGATTGTGAAGTTGGGATTGATAGGGAAATTGATACTAATCTCGAACAATGTTGTTCACCACTACAATAGCAGTAACGGGCCTTTCTATTTCACTCGAGCAGCAGCGAGTCACTCGGACAGCCCCTCATTGCCGTGAATCGCAGCAGCGAGCCGAGAAAGAGAATAACCGAGAGCCGAGGCCTTCTATCCTATCTTTTTTAGCCGTCTCATTAAATTCTCGAATGAGGTATACGACGTTACCTTCTTCATTTATTTAAGAGTTTAATATGAAGGATTAATTTAAGGCTTAGGGTTCATGACAATGAGACGCACGTTTTCTTTTTTATGCTCGTGATAAAAGACTTTTAATTTCAGAATTATATTGATTGATGTTGAACTCTCGTATGGACACCATATAAGCCTCTGAAAATACATATTTTGATGTTTAAGAAGGGTTCGGATAAGTGGTTTTTAATTTTTATCAAAATCGGGATATATATTGCTTGTTCGTAGCCTTGCCAGGTTTCGAAAAATGTGATTGAGGTGTTTCATTTCTGAGGTTTAAACCTCTAAAATATGAGATTATATGATGTTATATACCAGGTATAAGTTGAGAAAATTAAGACTCTTGAGTTATTGATAATCGAGAGAAAAATCACCTAGAATCGAGCCTCTTTTGATGGCTTAAGCGAGTTATTTTTATGCTGCGATTTTTATGAGTTTTTGAGCCTTAATATCATGTTTATAAACCTGGTATATAATGAGTTTCATAACCCTTCTTGATTTTCTTTGTCTGTAGTTCAAAAAAGCACAGAATCAAGAAAAAAAAAAAAAAGAATAATACTTGTTGCAACTTTATCTCAATTTTTCTCATTTTTACAAACCTTTTATTTCAATTTTTTAGGGTAGCCCATGTCGGTGCGCTGGTGCGAGCTTTAATCTTTGAGCGCCGGTGCGAGATTAGATCTCTGAGCGGAGGACGGGCGCC